TACCAGTGGCCATTGCGCTAGGTACCTGCAATACAATCATGTGACGGAGCTGATTCATATGACTGATCTACTTCCAGTCTCTGCATAACATTTGGTTCTTTGTGGACGTTAGGAATTTTTCATCTCCTTGAAAGTGGATTAACTTAGGGCTGTCACCCAAACAAAGAAATCTTAGAAAGCAATCCTAAGCAGATCTACTCAGAATCCTATTTAAGTCCACTCAAATAGGCTTGCTCCCAGAAAACCGTTCTTAGGATAGCACCATTAGGCTATTAACTGTATGAGTTCTAATTGATTGATCTGTTACCAATGTATTGTTCATATGAACAAAATAGTTTCAGAGTCAACACGATTGCCTTATTTTTCAGTGTGTGGTATTTCATTGCAGGTACCATCTTCCAAGAGGCATTCCCTCTTGTATGAAAGAGAATAAGGAATGTCTCCTATAAGAATGTTAGTTACCAGCCCTGACCTGAATAGCCCAGGCAAGCCCAATCTCATCAGATCTTGGAAGCTAAGCAGGGGTGACCCTGGGAAGTATTTGGATGGGAGACCTCCAAGGAATTCCAGGGCTGGGAGGCAGAGACAGGCTATCAATCCACTTCTCTGAATGTCCTCCATGCCCCAGTAGGAGTTGTTAGAGGTTGCCTTTATTTACAGGCACACACACAAAATGTAAAAAAACCCCAACAACCCAGGAATGTTCATTACCCATGTTTCTTGTAAATACTTGCATTTATGAATATATGTTTGTTATTAAAAGTCTGATACCTGATTATTCAGGAGTATTGTAATCAAGCTTGGCTATCTCAAGTCAATCAATTGAATAAACATTCCACCCTAAAATAAATCAGTGAATGAGAGAGAATTCTTTCTTGCATTTTCCTTTGCTTCTCAAACTCCTTTCAATTGTTTCACAAATCTTTTAGCTCCATAATTCTTATTTAGCTGGCTTTTATTAGTCTAGTTTTTGATTCCCTGCTTGGCTGCCTATTGTTTTTACAGGGTATTCACCTTTTCTAAGCCTAGAGTCTAGACAATTATCTGTCATAATTGTTTCTCTTTTGTTTTAATTCTTTGGCATCAATCACAAGTAGTTACACACAGTTTCTTACTAAATCAGCTCCCCCTCTGTTTACTTCCTACTCCGAGACAATGAATCACTAAATATCACCAAGGTAATGGAGAATGCAAGAACAGTTTCAAGCGAGAACTGCAGAGCCCAGCCAAGCTTTGGAGAGAGTGGAAAACATGCAGGCAAAATACTATTGCAAATTAAATCTTGCCTACGCTTTAAAGTCTTTACTCTTTTCTCCAGAGGGAGTGTCCCCAGTTTAGAAATGTATAGTATACAGTATTTTAAATATAGCTACTTCATGGATGTTCTTGGCCTCCCTTGAACAAGGCTAAGGTCACCTGTACAGCAGATCTGCCTGGATCTTCTGTGTGATTAGCCCTGCTGTTGTGTGCTTGGATGGTGGCCTGCGGACAACAAGAAAGGCTTGCTTGCCGTAAAACCTTTCCAGGATATGTTGTATTAAAGAGCTGATCCCTGCTTGTGTGCTTGCTTGCTCTCATTTTCTGCCCAACTAAGCCTACTCTTGACATTATAAGCTACAGCTGTGAAAAAAGGAGCTCTGAACTGGGTGTGTGTGCTTTTTTCTACCTGCCTCCAGATAAACGAAGCAAGCCCACCTCCGTCTGACCCACAGATAGAAATAACCAACCCATCGCAATGACAGTTTTGCAGTTTACATAGCGCGAATCATGGGTCCTCTGCTAATCATAGAACCTCTGAACCGGTTGCTTATATTCATGGGGAAAAAGGAATACTATATCCCTGCTTCTTCTCAATCTAGAGGCTCCCATTTTGTGTGTTGCAAGCACCATTTCATTGCAATATATTTCAATTGTCCTTGGAAGTAGGGGTGCTAGCCTCCTGGTGGGACCTGGGGATCTCCTGAAATTACAGCTCATCTCCAGACTACAGAGACCAGTTCCCCTGGAGAAAATGAATGCTTTGGAGGGTGGACTATGTGTCATTGTACCCCACTGAGGTATCTGTCCTCCCAGACTCCTTTCCTAAATCTCCAGGAGTTCCCAACCTGGATCTGGCCACCCAACCCCCCCCCCCAATTCCCCGCCAGTGGCCAGGTGCGACTTGGCATCCTTGCTCGGAAGGATTAATAAAAATCACTGCTTGAATCACTGAGCCCATGTGTGGGAAGGGTGGGATACAGATGCGATAAATAAATAAATCAAATCAGGGTTGGAAAAGACCAAAAGAGTCTTACTACAGTCCATTCCCCTTCTCTGCCTTGAGGCAAATTATTCAGTACTGAAATGTTCTCCAATGGATGCTTATCCAAACTTCTTTTTGTTTGCCTTTTATTTTATCTTTCAGCCAAAAGCTGCTGCCCAGCCGCCTCCACCAACAAACAAGAATGCACAAATATCAATTAAAATTTCAGTTTTTAAAAATGTTCCTTTCTTAAGAAAACATAAGAACATACGAGAAGCCAATGCTGGATCAGGCCAATGGCCCATCTAGTCTAACACAATGGCCAAAAATACCAGGTGTCATCAGGAGGTCTAGCAGTGGGGCCAGGACACTAGAAGCCCTCCCACTGTTGCCCTCCCCCAAGCACCAAGAATACAGTGCATCACCTGCCCCAGCCTGTGAGTTCCTATCTATACCTTGTGGTTAATAGCCACTGATGGACCTCTGATTCATATGTTTATCCAGTTCCCTCTTGAAGCTGTCCATGCTTGTAGCCACCACCACCTCCTGTGGCAGTGAATTCCATGTGTTAATCACTCTTTGGGTGAAGAAGTACTTCCTTGCTCGAAAGCCAGTCGAGTCCGACTCTAGGGTTGCGGTGCTCATCTCCGTTTCAAAGCCGAAGAGCCAGCACTGCCCGAAGACGTTTCCGTGGTCATGTGGCCGGCATGACTAAACAGCTCCCTGTAGAAAAGCAACAGCTACCCCCTCATCTATCCAAGATGAGTCATCCCGAACCAGAGACTTTTCGTCTCCTGTCGGCTTTCCCCCAATATTCAGTTTAAAAACTGCTCTGCCACCTTTTTGATTTTATGTGCCAGCAGCCTGGTTCCCTCTCAGGACAAGTGGAGACCATCTCTTCTGTACAGCTCCCTCTTGTTCCAAAAAGTATCCCAGTGCCTAACAAACTTAAACCCTTCCCCCC